GGTTTTTAGGGGCTTGTAAAGATATTTGAGGTTGTTCACATCCATACTGGGAGATCTGTGTAAATGATACTCAACATATTTCTATAAGCACAGATAGAACTAGACTATAGGTTGTTACTAATTAAGCACAGTTTCAACTCAGAACCAGGTTTTGGAGGCAACAGGTGTTTCTAATGCTTTTTGCTACACCTGTAACAGACTGCTACAGGTGTAATAACCACAACAAATAACTGCACAAAGCATCAAGATTACTATGGACTTGAATCACGACCTGTCAGTCAGTAAAGACCAAACTTTAAATGCTTCACTAAAGTTATTGCAAGACTACGTAAGAATGTGCAAATAGGCAGAAAACTAGCAATTCAGTGTAAATCCCTGAAATAATGAACATTTTGCTGCACCACTGGAGGTATTATTTCACAGTCTTCAGTCTAAATCCTTTGAAAATGCAAACATGATGCATATATGATGAACAGTTCTGACTACAGTGAAATTAAGCCTTAGAAATGCATTCAAATAACATTAGCTTGCTAGCTAGTTCAATGACTGATTGCCAAAGACAGCCTACATAGTAATCTTTTTTTCTGCCATTAATCATAAAATCACATTTTGTTTTTTACCTTGTTTGAAAGTTTGAAAATCTGATGCTACGTCACAAGGTTGCACAACACGCAAAATTCTAAGCTCAGGTGAAAAGACTTACTTAACTTGCATAATTGATCATTGAAATGTTTCTTTTTTCTTTTCCCTGATTGTAGTGTTATTTGCATTTAAACAAATACACTGAATAATAATGGAGCAATGTCACACTTGATTTCAGTCCAACTGAGTGTGTTCATGTGCATCATTTGGTACCAGACTGAAGCCAAAAAGTCCTCCAAACAAGCAAAAAGTGAACAAGCATGAAAACATCTGTAGCACAGAACTGGCACGTCACTACTGCTAACATCTGCCAGCGCCTGTAGACTTTAGACAGTGTTAATAATAAATAAAATATAATCTACTATGTTAACTTGTCTATTGGTTTTAAAATTAAAATTGGAGGACTGTATAAAAAGGGCTCCAATTTAACATTGCTCATCATGAATTCATGCTGAAAGTCAGCACTTTGTGTGTGATATGTATTTGAAATTCATATTGCCCAAACATTTTCTCCAGCTGGCTGTATTTTTGGTTCTGTATTGTCATAGGAATAAAATGTCGGTCACAAACAAAAATGCAGATTAGGGCTCAAAGACTTTAAGACTTGAAGATGACTATAGTCTCTGTCCACAGCTCATATGATGCCTGTAAAACTATGTTTGTGCATTTTGTGTGTGTGTGTGT